GCTACTTACTGTATTTGTCAAGTGAACCTGTAGATTATCCTTAGCTCCATACAAATTCTTAGCGTGTTTCACAAATCCTACAAGTATTTTAGCTCCCAGCTGGAAGGATTCAAGTTTTAACAAGTCAAAAGGGATATCACACCCTGAGTTCAAACTGGCCCAGAAACTCTTCCTCTCATTAAGTGAGACTCGCATTTTTGTCTGCTCACCGTTTCAGGTTAGATCACGTTTCACTGACGGGTGCTGACTTTTGTTTGGCAGCAGAAAATGATCTGAAAAGTCTACGCTCAGAGTGCAGTCCTAAGACAAACAGTGATGCTGGACCTAAAAAAAGTTAAGTCAGGTCCTCTGGACGGGTTCAAAAACTAAAAAGTGTAGAAACGTTTTGTCTTTCATCTGAAAGACATCTTGAGTCTGAGGAGCTGTATTCAACTCAGTCTTATAAACAGCACCCTCTCATAGTGGATCAACCAGTTTGCTGCTGACAGCCAGAACTAGCTGTTCACATGATCAAGACCGCAGAGTCCTGGCCTGATGATGTTGATCTTCTGTGCTGGGCCATCCTTTTGGCCAGTGGCTGTTTAGTTTCCCCGATGTAAGACTGATCACAGCCCTCCTGACACTGAACAGCATACACAACATTGCTCTGTTTGTGCCGGGGGACTGGATCTTTGGGATGAACCAGTCTTTGCCGTAATGTATTTTGGGCTTAAAAGCCACTGGGACGTTGTGTTTAGAAAATAAACATCTCAGTTTCTCTGAAACTCCCACAACATACGGAATAACAACAGGTCTGGGTTCCTCCTTTTCACCTGATGGCTGACTGGAATCCTGTTTGGGATTCTTCTCTTTTTTCAGGAAGGCCCAGTTAGGATATCCACATTGCTCCAGGGCCTGTCTTGTGTGGGATTTCTCCTTCTGCCTGGCTCCTGAGTTAAGGCTCCAGCATACTCGCACATCCTGTCAGCCACGCGGAAACTGTGCACGCCGTCCGCAGAGGGTTCCGACTTCATACTCAAGCATCCACCCTGAGCAGCTGCAGACCAGCTCCACAGACAAGGGGCGTTTACCTTCAGGACAAATTGAGGTCCCCGATTGGTCATTTGCTGACACGCCTACTGGATTGATTTACAGGTCGCAAAAAAAACCCAACTAAAAAACGAGAGCTAGCAGCAAGTGGCAATGGTGTTCTGTGTTTATATGTTGTTAATAAAACGTTTTTAAACATTTTAAAAACAGGGAGCACTTGTCCTGTAGCTTACACATTAGACCAGCCCATCATGAAATCTCCAGACCCTCCTGCAGCCACGCTGGACCTGATTTTAATTCACTTGTGACAAATTCCTTCATTTCGCACCATTTCAGTCATGGCGTCAGCGAAAGAGGAGGAAGAGATCACTTACCTCTTGGGAAAAAAACAAAAGAAAAGGCCAGATCAGAGATGAAGAAGGGGAATTTAATACATTGGTGTTGCATACAAAACACCGTCGCCGGGCAGTTTATTGTGCAACACCAAGTATGCGTACGCGGTCGTAAAAATTGAGCTTTGCACGGACATGCCCTGTGGGCGTCTGTTTCGACTCTAATCCTGTACACACGGACTGACGTATGCACGAGTATAATGGAGGCTTTAGTGGGGACGCTGTCTGCTCTGTGGTACAGAGTCCTGATGACTCCTAACTTGTGCTCCAAAGGGTGATGGGAGTCAAACTGCAAATACTGGTCTGTGTGGGTGGGTTTGCAGTACACCTCAGGTTGCAAATGTCCTCCATCAGAAACTGAGAACTCACAGTCCAAGAAAACCAACCTGCCATTTTTTACATCTTCTTGTGTGAACTTGATGTATTTATCCACAGAGTTGAGGTGGTCAGTGAAATGTTGAACATTTCAGTATGCTGTTCAGTGCTGTGATCAGTCTTACATGGGGGAAACTAAACAGCCACTGGCCAAAAGGATGGCCCAGCACAGAAGATCAACATCATCAGGCCAGGACTCTGTGGTCTACACTCATCTCCAGGCCAGCGGTCACTCTTTCAAGGATGAAGATGTTCATATCCTGGACAGAGAGGAACGATGGTTTGAGAGAGGAGTAAAGGAGGCCATCTTTGTGAAAAGAAACCATCCATTATTAAACAGGGATGGAGGCCTCCATGTTCAACTGTCCCCCTCTTACAATGCTGTTATTGCTAGTATCACTCAGCCCTCTGTGAATAGTAAACAGCCATCCTTGATCATGTGAGCAGCTAGTTCTGAATGTCAACAACAAATTGGTTGATCCACTATGAGAAGGTGCTATTTATAAGACTGAGCTGAATACAGCACCTCACCCGTGAGAAGTCTTTCGGATGAAAGACGAAACGTTTCTACAATTTTTTTGTTTTTTGAACCCGTCCAGAGGACCAGACTTAACTTTTGTAGATTTTTCTAACTGGATTATTGCGCATGCATCAGGAGTGATGTTGGACATAAAGATAAGGGTCTCAGCAGAATCATCTGGACAACAGACGCCACAGCCTGCGAGTCAGCACTGCCTCAGTGACTCACCCAGGCCCTGCTGAGTCAATCAAGAGACTCGCTCGATGCAGGAGAGTCATATGAAACACAACCTGTCTTTAGATATGCAAAGACAAATGTTTGGCATGTGGGTTTTCGAGGAAAACCAAAAACTAGTTGCTTTGCTTTCAAGAAAACCTGCCGACTGGATCATGTTTTGTTGTCTGATCGAGTGTGCTGTCATTTGGGTCTTGCATAAAGTCTCACACTCTTGTGTCTCTGCGAACAGCGTGGGCCATAAAGGGAATATTGAGAGATAAAGCTGAAGAGTTAGTCTGGTACCTGAGGCTTTGACACATTATTATTATTTGGATGTACAGACATATGTGAACTGATTAGCTGAATTGAATCATCTATCCTCAAAAAGAGGAATATTTGCAGACAGAAAATAATCCAGATTAGACAGACAGGCATTCCTTGAAGGATTTTATATTGCCCGCCACCTTTCATGCCACCGTTTTAGACTATTCTTTTCTTTTTTTGAGAAATCATAAAGTAATAGGTGTTTTGGTTTTGGAGTTTGATTAGCTAAGGCAGCAATTTTGAATAGGAATAATTCCAAAAGTTATTTAGTTGGAGACGTACATCTAATGATCATTTTTTGAGAGATTTATTGAACCCCATCGTGTTTTATGAGATAAATTTGCTCACAGACAAACAGGTTGGACTCCAACAGTTAATACCAAGGTTTTCAGCAAAGATGTGCTCAAAGTGTGTTGGAGAAGATGCTCCACTACTACCACACATTTTTACTCACCATTTGTGAATTTAACTGAATTATAGCCATTTTTCTGTTTTCTCAAAATGCAAAAATGCAAAGATAGAGAGGCCAGACTGAGAAGGTTTGGACATGTCCAGAGGAGGGACAGTGGATATATTGGTAGAAGGATGTTAGAAATGCAGCTGCCAGGAAAAAGACAAAGAGGAGAGATATGGATGCAGTTAGAGAGGACATGGAGTTACTGGAGTTGGAGTGAGGACAGAGTGAGACGGAGGAGGATGGCTCACTGTGGAGACCCCTGAAGAAAGAAAAGCTGAAAGAAGAAGAAGAAAATAGCCATTTTTGTGTTTTCTAAGTTTTGGATTTGGTAGCCATCTTGAATTTGGTTGTATCAAAGTTAACTTGTTGTAGTTGAACTTCTATTGACTGTTTCCTGAATGATTTGTTAAAATTCATCCATATCTATCCATATTTTGCTAACAAACTTTAAGAGTCAACATAGTTAATGGCACACATGTTGTGCAATCTACCAGTGCTCAGAATGTTGAGGATCAGGCTCAGCTACTACCAAACCAAAACTGTCTGGGTTATAGCCATTTTTGTGTTTTTAAGCTCAGCTGGCTGTGACCGCCATCTTGAACGGGTTTCACTCCGAGAAGTAGTAGAGGTGCATCCAGTGATTATTTCCTACAGTTTTCATTAAAACCTGTGGTTCACAAGATATTTTGCTAACAGACAGACAGGGTTGAAATAGTGAGCTCTCAGAATACAGGTTGGACATCAGTCTCAGCTACCCACATTTAAGCTCAATATCTTTAGATATATAGCCATGTTTTTAGGGAGTGGTGGCGCAGAGGTTAGAGAAGGTGGGCCTGGGATCGGAAGATCGCCGGCTCAACTCCCGGTACTGACAGCATCAAAATGTGAATGGGATAGGTGAGGCACCCACACCTGTTTCCACCCTCATTTGCTCCACTCTAGGCCCTTGAGCAAGGCCCTTAACCCCCCACCATCTAGGTGACAGCTCTCTGCGCCACACAGAGGGCTGTGGTAGCTCGGTGGTTGCATCAAGACGGGCATTCGGCGTAAAAATAATTGCCACTTGCAACTTAGTTTGCTGTTGTGATCCCTGATGAAGGGAGCAGCCGAAAGAAGAAGAAGAAAATATATATATATATACAGAGAGCCATGTGTTTGCTGATATTGCTTTGCTGTGGCGGCCATCTTCAAAAGGGCTGACTCTAGAAGTCAATGAGTTGTAGATGCTCAGTAACGACTACTGCCTTAAAGTTTCACTGAAACCCGTTCAGCAGTTAGTGAGATTTTTTAAATATAATAATGATTTGCATAAAACACATGTCTGCTCGAGTCTCCTTCCTGTTGGAGGGGTTGAGGCTGTGACACATCTGCTCCCTCAGGAGAGGTTTGCTGTTTCACAATCTGACCACGATCATATGTGCGATAAGATGAGCAGAAGCAGGGCACCAAGCGGAACATTTCATCAGCCTGTGAGCAGCAACACCTCCATCATCAGTCATCCTCTGGCAGAGCAGGAAAATATGCCGCACTTGGAGCAAACGCGCTCTGCTGGGGCGCATCGAAATAAATGTATTTAACGTGTTCAGTCTCTGAGAGGATGAACTGGAGTAAACCCGCCGTTTGTTACCTAGCAACATGGTAGCACGGTGATGACAAACTGACGGCTGCTAAATGTTCAAGAACATACCTGAACCTGATGCACCTCCTCCCGGGCTTCACCACCGACACTCCCGGTGATCCAAAGTTCACCTCCGGCCTTTACCTTCGCTACTTTCTCCGGTTAACGCGGCTCTCCTTTCAGCAGGAGGCGGCCGCCGACTCGATGATGTCTGGAGACGACATCACCACGGAGCGCATCGGAAGTCAGCGGCTGGTTTGATTTCCTTTACGTCGCCGTTTTGTTTGTTTGGCCCCGCGGCAGAGGAAGAGGAGCGGGTGAGACGTGCAAAAATGGCACGCAGAGGCACATTTCCAGCCCGGGAGAGAGTTAAACAGAAATCAACCCCACCGTGTTTACACAATCCGGCCACATCATTGCGCCGGAGAAAAAAATAAGAGGAAGAGAGCAACTCACTGGATTTCCTTAAAGCCAGAAAAGGCCAAAGTATCTATGGAAACGGTAAAATGTCCTTGAATATCAAGGCTGCGCTCGTGAGTTAGGCTCGTCTTGTGGTGGAAGTAGTATTCAACAACGGTGGGTTCAGTCCTGCAGCTGCTATCCGAGTCCAGGGAATCCGGAAGGACGACGAGAAGACATATGAGGGTTTCTCACCATCATAACTTGTCAGTTCGCTCAAGTCTGAGGCACTGCAAGACTTCAGCCCTTCCAGGCACAACACGAACACTGGCTGAAGTCTTGCGAGTGCATAACTTCCTGTATAAATTTCAAAATAAAAGCAGAGTGCTTTCCTAAAAGTTTCACGAAGTCGCTGCCTTTTTCCTGAACTCTTCTACTTTACGTTATTGACTAAGATTCATTATTTTCTTTCTATAGCCGCACGCAAATTTTTGTATTCTAGATTTAAAAAGCACATTATTACCGTTTGTCTTTAATTTTGAAGGACTCGTAATTTTATTTCCGGCATTTCGTTTTCATTGTGCGCAAACTTGACATCAAAACCTTCATCGAGTCGTTTTCATGTTATACTGCTCCCTGCTGGCCAAGGAGCAGGATTTAACGTATTTCCGCATGAAAGTTAAGATAATTTTACAGCACTCGGTGTCCTCAAAATGAAAGATAAAAATAGTCACATTTTAAATATAAAAAGATTTCAGCTAATGTATGTTTTTACTTTTTTTACTGACAGATAGATAGATAGATAGATAGATAGATAGATAGATAGATAGATAGA